CAAGCCTCCATCATCTCTTGCCTGGATGACTGCTTTTACCCCCAAATAGCTTCCTACGCCTGCTTCTACACTTATTCCCACCAAAGTCCACTTTCAACACAGCAGCCTCAGTGATCTTATTAAAATCTTTTATCATTTCCTTCCTCCCAAACTCCTGCAGTGGATTCTTATTTCTCTCAGAGTAAAATCAAAACCATAATAGCCAGAACGCCGTACATGATCTGGTTTCTCACTGTCTAACTTCTTACCCTAATACTTCCCCTCTCACACTCCCTCCTACCTTCAAGCCTTTGTTCAAATTTTACCTCTTACCCAACTACCTTAGCAGCCCCACTTCCAAAGGCTCTCAAATTCCCACTATTCTGCTCTATTTTTCTTCTTTCCATGCATTTACTATCTTTTGAGATGAATGCAATTTTTTTCAGAATTAAAGTATTTATTATGTTTATTGTTTATTATCTGTCTCTCCTCATTCCTGCCACCACCAGTTCCCTGTCTTGTTTGTTGATGTAATCAGTGCCTAGAACAGAGTAAGTGTTCGATATATTTGTTGAATGAATAAAATAATATGTTCAGCAACTTATTTTGCAAATTAATAGAAAGTACGTTCTCTGTGCAAGGCTTAGAGTGGAGTGGATAAAAAAAGAACAAGACAGGTTTTCTACTCACATGTAGCTTATAATCTGGTAAGTGCATGAATAACTCTCACCTACATCAATGGCACGGAGTCCTCCGGGACTCAGGACCTAAGTAATGCCAAAAGAAAGAGCTACAGCAAGAGCTACAGCTCAGCAAACCAAGTTTGCCTCTGACTGAAATGATTCCAAATGGCTTTGTGGATGGAGTATTTGAAGTGGACTTTGAAAGACAGGTGATAGTTTGATAAGTAAACACAGAGAAAGAGGTGTTTGAGGATTATAAACCACCTTGGAAGACATGAAACTAACAAAAGAACACTGAAAGGACAGTCATATATTAATAATTTAATAATTATGTCAACAATATGTTACCATCTTACTAAAGTGGCATCATTTATTTGGACTATAAGAGCTTTATAGGCAAGGAGAGATAATGATATTCATTTGTCTCAAACGTGTAGGAATAGGATGGCAGTTGAGGTAATTTTCTGAGAGCATTGAAAACTGAGCTAAGTGGGCGCCTGGGTGGCTCAGGTGGTTAAGCGACTGCCTTCAGCTCAGGTCATGATCCTGGAGTCTCGGGATCGAGTCCCGCATCGGGCTCCCTGCTCAGCAGGAAGTCTGCTTCTCCCTCTGACCCTCCCCCCCTCATGCTCTCTCTATCTCATTCTCTCTCTCAAATAAATAAATAAAATCTTTAAAAAAAAAAGAAAACTGAGCTAAGTAGTTAGGCTTCATTTATCTGATAAAGAATCTTATAGGGTGGGTGCCTGGGTGGCTCAGTTGGTTAAGCGACTGCCTTCAGCTCAGGTCATGATCCTGGAGTCCCGGGATCGAGTCCCGCATCGGGCTCCCTGCTCGGCAGGGAGCCTGCTTCTCCCTCTGACCCTCCTCCCTCTCATGCTCTCTGTCTCTCATTCTCTCTCTCAAATAAATAAATAAAATCTTTAAAAAAAAGAAAACTGAGCTAAGTAGTTAGGCTTCATTTATCTGATAATCATATAGGGTTTGGAGCGTGGGAGAAAGCAGATGGCATAACCATACGGAAGTTCGGTGAACTCACTTAGGTGAACTCCTTGAATTGAGGGCAGCGATTTTGTCTTATTAATCTTTCCATTCCTAGTACCCACCATAGCACCTGGCATATTAGTAGGTGCTCAAAAAATATTAGTTTATATTTCAACCAATGATTAAGGAGATGATTAAAAACAAACTGTCAAGTGAACAAGTCACATTCTGGCCACTGTAGGGAGGATGGATTACAGGAGGTTAGAATTAAGAAGGATACTAAAGCATGGAAATAGGGTCACTTGAATGAAGGCAAGAGATGGCATAAGCATCGCCATGTTGGAAGAACCAACAGGTCTAATCGGATATGCGGGCTAAAAGCCGATGAGATTAGTTCTTCCCCAACACAACCTAAATCTACTCAACTCCTAACATTCCAACTACAAGATTTTTTGCAGTGAAATGAAATTTGAAGGTAAATGCAAAGATTCCAATGTGGGGTTAGAAACTAACATCTCATTAAAACAATTAACCATAGACTTTTAAAATAGGTAATTTCTGGAAAATTAAGCATAACTGCAGGCATTCATCGGTTTATAAAGGTCAGGCTTCTGAATGCTTGGATGTGGCCACACAGAGGAAATTCTTGGGAGGCAGCAAGGGGTGTGTGCAAAGCTTCGGCCTTGAGAACTGGCAGGCCTGGGTTTAAGGCTGTCCTCAACCACTCACTAACTGTGCAGCCCTGCAGAGAGACCTGAACTTTTAGTATCTGTGACTTAATGATAAAAATAGTAGAGAGTTATGTGAAGATTGAATGAGATCATATAGATGCCTGGCACAGAGTAGGTGCTTCATAAATATTCATCCCCCCGGTTTTCTTTTCTTGTTCTCTGGAATCCATGGAGCGACCCCTCCTTCCAACACAGTTCTGGCCAAAACATGCTTTTATTTATAATGACTCCTCCACGAAAATTTGTGTTTGTAATCATGTATTCTATTGTCTTTTATTCTGTGCCAGGGTCCAGGCTCGCTCAGTTTCCTTCCACTTTCCCAGAGCTCAACTCCAAATATGGTTTCACCAGCAAATTTCCCAAGTATCCTTTTATCCTGTCTTCAGGAAGATTATTAATGAAGATGTAAAATCAGGCTGGCATGAGTAACAATGCTTAAGGCAATCCTCCAGACACTTTTGTTCCACTCAACAGGGATATGGTGTCATTTATCATTAGGTCTTGTTACAGTTTTCTGACCCCTTGAAAAATTTGCTCGTGTCCACACCCACAGGAATTAGTCTTGCAAGTGAACGCTCAGGAGGGACTGAATTAAATGTCACAGCACTACAGAACATCCGTCACATCACACTAACCTATCACTCTCTGCTCTTACAAATTTTGCAATCAAAACAAATTAGTCTGGCATGTTATTTCTAATAAACATTCTCTTTTGTTGTGTGTGGCTCATGCCCAAAAGGAGCTAATAGACCAATTGATAAAAGTCACCAAATCTCATCATTGGTTCAAACACGGTCAAGTGGCAAATAAAGAGTAATAATTCCTTGGCAAGGAGAGAAAGGAAGGGAAACAGAGCGGCCTATACAAGATGCTGTCTCATGAAACTCACTCTACAAAGTCCAAAGGGAAATCATTGTCTGGTTTGAGAACCAAGGACAGTTAAGGTTTTCTTGAACTTGCTTTTTCCTAATGGACCCTAGACTGTATCACTCACGGGGCTTCTCTTTTTCCATTTGCTGAAAAAGTTGAGCATTGCATGGGTGGCTCAGTTACAGCGGGGCATGGGGGGCACAATGATGGGATAGTTCCCAATCTCTCTCCTGGCTCCATTAGGCTCCATATTATTTTCCTTGCTTCTTCCTTCTCAATTTATGTTCGAACTGTGGAAAAATGAATATGATATAAAGTTCACCATATCAACCATTTTTAAATATACAATTCAGTGGTATTAAGCACATCACCACCATCCATCTCTAGAACTCTTTTCATCTTGCAAAACTGAAACTCTGTACTCATTACATAATAACTCCCTGTTCCCCCAGCCCCTGGCAACCACTCTTCTTTCTGTCTCTATGAATTTGACTACTCTGGGTACCTCCTATACACAGAGTCATACGATACCTTATCATTTTTAACAAGTGCGATCTTCCTGTATTTTATGTAAGTTTATAACCGCATTTGAAACAAAATGGAGAATGAATAAATGAAAAAAAGCAAAAATATTTCCTGGGGACCAGAGGGATTCAATCCTATATGCATCAGGTCAGTGGCAAGGTCATAATGCTTGCTGATTCGCATGAAACACAATGGATTGTAAGAACTAGTCGTATTTAAACAGTTAGCTAATGGGTACACAAGCAGCCTATTTAAGATAACAATAAGGTCAAAGGAGAGAGGAAACATAGTAGAGGTTCCCACGAGGGAAGAAATATCAAGATCATTGAACAAGGAAGCACCTGTGGATTGAAACTCATCCCTAAAAGGCTAGATACCAATACACTGATCACGAAGGTTATTGATAAAGCCGCTTCCATAGCAGTGATTCTCAAGCTCTAGTTAACATGAAAATTACTCACCACAATCGGGCGCCTGGGTGGCTCAGTCGGTTAAGAGACTGCCTTCGGCTCAGGTCATGATCCTGGAGTCCCTGGATCGAGTCCCGCATCGGGCTCCCTGCTCGGCGGGGAGTCTGCTTCTCCCTCTGACCCTCCTCCCTCTCATGCTCTCTGTCTCTCATTCTCTCTCTCACAAATAAATAAAATCTTAAAAAAAAAATTAAAATAAAATAAAATAAAATAAAGAAAATTACTCACCACAAACCTACCAAATCAAAACTGTATTGACTGGGACTCAGGAATCTGAACATGTCACCAGCTGCAGGGCTGGTTCAGACACAGAAGGCTCTTGTCGGCGTGGAGAAACAATGGTTAGTGCAGTGGATCGGAGGTTGTGAGGCCCACCTCTGACCAGTTGAGTAGTATAATCTTGGATTATGTTATGCACATAGACACATGGTATCCATTACTGCCTATTTTTACCTGCTTCACTTGTTCTCTTCTACATTGAGTGCTGCCTGACTTAGCTACGAAAAATGGAGGCAGGGGCAAGAGAGAATGACCCACCGGGGGAGGGTCAGCAAGGGCCAGCCCAGCCACTACCCCGACACTATCCCACCATCATTATAAGCCTGTGGTTGTTTTATTTCATGTTTCCTTTCTCGTCTGCCCCTTTGTCACCAGGTAGACTGGCTGGAGGGAAAACACTGGCCTCAGGGAAACTGTGTGCAGTGTGAAAGATCAGACTCTGACGTCGCTCTCATTTATAGCTTTTTCTTTCTTTCTAGAATATGTCTGTGCTGGAGAATCACCACTGGCGATCTACAATCGGCATGCTTCGAGAATCAAGGCTTCTCGCTCACTTGCCAGAGGAAATGACGTAAGCGGTGTAGAGCTGAAACGTACTGATGTCCACACCTTAGAGATCAGCTGCTTTCTCCAGGGCATGCTGGAGACACCAGGGTTAATGGCAGGGAGCCAGCCGGCTGCGCTTCCTGCCCGCGCTTGGTTGTCGATCAGGTGTCAGTTACAGCAACCCAGAATCCGAATCTCTCCGTGAGCTTTGAAAGGCCCTTGCATAGTCTATGACCTAACATCAGGAAGAAGGATAATAAACAGCTCTCAGCTTTCACACTCTTCAGCATCAATGCTCTGCTTTGTCCAATTCCTGTCTTTTATGTTAGCAACATTGTCCTCCCACGAAGATCCAAATAATAAATATTTATCAAGGAGGAACACAGGAGATCTCAAGCTAGATTTAAGACTAGTGCAATAAAGTTTGTTTTGTAATGGCCAGTCTTAGCAAAAATAGAAGTCAGAAATTCTTTCCTGAACTGTCTCTTGTTAAAGTAACTGAATTGGCCCCGGCCGGGTTTTTTGGCCATTAATTTACCTATGTCTCTTGTATTTGAAACAGAAAGGGAGATACTAGTTTCCTGGTCCACTGTTTGTTAGCCCAGGTATTTAGGCCAAGTCCTACTAAATCCAAGGCCAGTACCTCATTTTCCACATGGTCCTGAGTTAACTGCTGTAACATCTTTCAAGGCCACCACTAATTCTGACCTGTTAAATTAAACGCGCAGAGCCCAGGATAGCTAGAGGAGAATAGATAGATAAATCCCTGCACCCTTCTTTCTGAAGGTTGCATAACTTAAAGTCAAGTGCCGAGTTGCATCTCTATAGAACAGGCAGTGTGCTCTGGGCTCCTACGTTTATTCCTGGCCCTGTGATACTACCTGGTGCTGTTTCCTAGCACCCAGAGGAATGTGGCATTTGCAGGAAGAATTTTAAATCTGATAGCTTTTTACCTCCTGGAATGAAATAAAACCAATCATCATGCATGGCATAAAAACCTGTGCCTTTTGCTAGAACAGTTGGAAAGATCCAAAGAACTAAATGCAAAAGAACTAAAAACTTGAGTAAGAAATCAAGTAAGAAGGAGAAGAAAGGAGGAGGTAAGTGGCAGGGACAGCTAAAGAAAGAAAGGAGAGAAGGGAGAGAAGGAGAGAGAGCAGACAGGAAAGAACAAAACTAAAGGAAGAAAGGAGGGAAGGACTCGGGACCAGACTTGTCTCACCCGCCTTAATCCTGCTGGTTACTCAGCTATATTCATTTCCTGAGATACGCCTACTCACCCCTATGGATTCCAGATAAAAATGCCATGTTTGTTATGCCTTTGTAGGATGCAGCGTTATAAATCACTTTTGTGGGAAGAATCACTGTTACGCAATAATTCGAAAAGGAATATGGGGGCAGGTGCAGGAGTCAGTCCTTGTATGCAGTTGCCTATGTATTCATGTTCTCGACCTGGCTGGGGATGACAGATATTTACTTCATACCTATTCATTCAACTCTGTGTGCTCTATGCACCCTACAAAATAAAAGGATATAAAGTCTGACACCATATACCTAAGACGTGGGGGGCAGAGGAGTAAAGAATGAGTTCAAACATAAGCGACCATCAACTTCACATAGACTGCTAAATGCAGATGTTATATACAAACCTAAATATATTGAATTTTTATTATTTATTTATTGTGGTGGGCAGCAAAGCAAGGTTTATTGAGCAATAGCAAAGTGATAGTACAAAGCTCCCAAGGAGGGAGGGGACCTGAGAGGGTTGCCCTATACTGAATTTTTAAAGATGAATTTTTAAAAATAGTTACGGATCTTTTCTTCTATTGATTACCTTCTCTGTGTGAGGTAAAGCTCTAATTTGCTTATTTTTCCAAAATATCTCATTTTCCCTATACCATTTGTCGACTAATATATTGCTTGCCCACTGGGTTTTTTTTGTTTGTTTGTTTGTTTGTTTGTTTAAGATTTTATTTATTTATTTGAGAGAGAGAGAGAACACCTGAGAGGGGATAGGGTCAGAGGACGAAGCAGACTCCCTGCCGAGCAGGAAGCCCGATGCGGGACTTGATCCAGGGACTCCAGGATCATGACCTGAGCTGAAGGCAGTCGCTTAACCAACTGAGCCACCCAGGCGCCCTTGCCCACTGGTTTTTAATGGTGTCTTAACTACCCATGATTCTTTTTTAAGTTCCGGTATCTTTCCTGGCCTGTTTTGTTCCGTTGGTGTATCTTTCCATACCATAGCATAGTCACTATTATTATCTTCCTCATTAGTACTATCATTATGCCCTTTTCTCCCCATGCAAATTTGAATGTTTGAGCTGGTTTCAACTCTTTAGGAGCACAATCCAAACTCCTGCGATTCTATCAGTCTTTTTGTGTCCCACTTAAAGCATGCATGTCTAGTCGATTTTCAGGTTTTAGACCCATGGTTACCATGGGAATGTATAAACTACCACAACTTTGTTCACTCAAGGTTTCAATCACGCTGTACAGTTATTAGCACACCTCCTGCCCAAAGACAGAAGTGACCGTGGGTGAGAGAATCCCCCTTGGGCTCAGAGGGACTGGACTCTCGGTGACAAACAGAAGCCAAGGCAGAAATGAGGTTACAAGCCACCTGATGGTGGCAGAATCAATCACCCTCCTCAAAAGGATCTGCTTTGTGTGTGTGTGTCTTCTCTTTCCCTCTTGTGGATGCAGACAGGATATTGAACAGCAGCTGGGCTCCTTGATCTTGGCAACAGACATCAACAGGCAGAATGAATTTCTGACCAGATTGAAAACGCACCTCCACAATAAAGATTTAAGACTGGAGGATGTACACGACAGGCATTTTATGCTTCAGGTAAACAACAACAACAACAACCCAAAGGCTGCCATCCTTGCTGAGTAAAAACGCTTCTTCGGGATGTGATCAGTCACTTTAGCACCTGTGAGAAGGAGTATCCCCCACGGGATAAGTTAGAGCAGTGACCGACCTTATGAAAAGCTCTGAGACACATGAAATTTTTAAGTGGTTTCCAAGCAAGCAAAATCTGGGTTTCGTGTCATTAAGTTGATAATCTCTCACTTTTCCTTGATCGGTAGCCAAGTAACCACAAAGTAGCCCTGCAGGACGATTGTACGTGGTAAGAACCTACCACGTTTTGTGGCTCGATGTAGAAGTGACCACTGTGATACCTGTACAATTTAGAAATACTGTTTCTGTAACACAAAACTAGATTATATTAACTGTAGTATGAACAAAATTGAAAACCAAGTAATCTTCCTTCACGTAAAACCTGTTTCATCAAACCCTGCTTTACTTCCTTTTATTCCTAAATTCATCACTCACAAACATGTTTACCTAGTCTTACCAATTTTAGACACCAATCAATAAATTAGGTTAAGTTTAACTGAATGAACTAAATTGTGTCAGGCGCGACCCTTCCTGCTTCATTCCACGGCAAGAAGCCATTTGTGACATGAGAACAAGAAGACGAGTGGACCCCAGGAGTGGAGGTCTGAGCTGGTGTCTAAACCAGAGCCCTTTTCTTGTGTTTTCTCTTGTCTTCCTTCTTTCCTTTTGGCACAAAAGGCTGAATGGATGGACCCTGGATTCATCTAGATAGACCAACTTTACCCAGGGAAATGGCGCTGCACACGGCAGACTGAACTGGACAGTGATTTTGTTCCATGCTTTCCTGCTGCCCTCTGTGGCTGTCCCCAGTGCTCCATCCTTCTGAGAAAATGCCTTCCTCCCAGCTGTAGAACTAGGTCTCTGTCCTTCTTTTCTTTCCAAACTCGTGTTCAGTCCCTGGGTGCCACAAAGATCAAGGTATCTGGTGCTCACGACTCCAGCTTGGTTGGGAGTAGCTGAAAGAATTGGGCGGCACACTTGCATTTCAAAAGGAAAGCTTGCTAACGCAAATGAATTCCTGAAGGGCAGAGCCTGGAGGTGACTTCTGCCCCTCACCTACTCCATCTGGACTGGTGTCCCCCTCAACAATCAAATTGGTAACTTTAATATGATCGGGGCTTTCCCAGACACCAGCACGGTCAGCGATTCTATGATGCCAAGGAACTGGGTCAAAACAGATAGACTTTGCTGGTGGGCAGGGCGCGCTAGCAGGGGCCCTTCTCAGCGGGCGGTGGTTAAGGGAGGAATCTACTTTTCTGGGAATTCAAGGTAACCCTCTTAGAGTCAGCATCCCCGATCCAGACCAGTGTGAGGTAAGCCTTGAATGAGCTTTGCAAACAACACGCTCCAAGGGTTGATAGGACCGAGCTCCCTGGCTGGCAGTCGGGGCTTGCTTAGGACACATAGACACAGGCACGAGAGCGCACGCAGAAGCGAAGTGACACACGGAGTCTGTCAGTGTGGCCACTGTGAGGGTGAGGTCCAAATGATCTCACTGGAACCTGGCTGGGGCCCCTGCGGCTTCCCTGCTCTCAAGGGGTGGGGTGAGAGAAGGAGCCAGACTGCCCGCTTTCTTTGGCCACCCCACCCCAAGCCTCCTCCAGAAAGCTCTGTGTCCTTGGACGGTGGCTCTTCTCTCCTTCTCAAAGCTATAAAGTGGGAATTCTGAATGAAGGTTTTGTGTGGTGGTGAAGAAGTGCTGTTTCTTGAAGAGGCGCTCTGTAAATACGGGCTTGGGGCCATGAGGCACCCTGGAGGGTGGGACGGGCCCTTGGGCATAGGGTGTATTTGCTGCTGAGGGTCATCCTCTGACCATCTCTCCCCGCCCTGTCATTTCTCAGATTGCCTTGAAGTGTGCCGACATTTGCAATCCTTGCAGAATCTGGGAGATGAGCAAGCAATGGAGTGAAAGAGTCTGTGAAGAATTCTACAGGCAAGGTTAGTAGTGATCTGACAGCTGAGTTCTCCCCGCCCCTCTTCCTGTTGGACGTTTATCCTAATCAAACAGGAAATGGCAATCTATCATGACATTTGTTCTTTCATCAACTCTTTCCTAACCTTTCTCTTTGACTTTCTTGCAAACCATCTGGCCCTTTTTTGGAAATAATTTAAAAATAAATAACACTGTCTTACTATGAAAACAGGTAGTCAAGAGGTATAATAAAAATGAGCAAAAGTGGGAAATAAATGTATGCGTGTGTATATATTTATATATATGTATATGTAATTTTTTTAATGGCTTTCCTCTGTGGATATAAGAATGTGAGGGGCAGCTTGATTTTTACTCTGACCTTCATTTTAAAGAGCTTAACACAGCCTAAAGGCGAAATGCCTTTTGGGGTCAATGTTTTCAGCTCTGAAGGGACTTAGACTCCTTCTGTATTCCTTCCCCTGGCTTCCCTAAACAAAGTTAATAATGAACCCGAGCACAGCTGACCAAGAATTGAGCTCATCCTCTCAAACATATTCAGGGAGAAGAGAAATGGCCTCAAGTTCGGGTATAATTTTTAAGAGATTAACCTCATTCAGAAATAAGGCTATGAATTAGCGAACAGGATCTTGACGCTGGGTGGGATATCGGCCTTTAAACACAGCCTTGTTTCTTCAGGCCTGGTTTCAGTGCTCAGGATGTTTGTTCAGGCACAACAGTGCCCTGATGTTAGTGACAGGATCACGTTTGAGAGGCTGAGAACAAATAAAGCCTGAAGTGTCCCACATACCAGCTCTGTGGGGAGGTCAAGTAGCGACAGTGAGGCTTTTGGAGAAGCTTCCATCGAAAGATGTGTCAGTGTCATTGAGATGGTCCCAAAGGCAGAAGACAAAGCAGAAGGGGTTGGGTTCACGTGGGGCCAGGAGGCTCTGCTACCATCTCTTTCGCTCAGAGGAAAAGCGCTCATGGAGTGCCCACAACTCTGTGTGACTTCACTTCGACTGAGTGTGAGTGGCTAGAAGTCAAAAATCAGTTCTCTTGTGGCCTATGATATAAAATCTCGACCGAGAGAAAACAAAAGGAAATATGATGAAATTGGAACAGGAGGCTTAGATCAGACAAGTATTTACTCTGTGATATAGAAAATATTGAAATAGCAATATGAGAGAAGGGCTAAGATCCTCATGCTTGGAAATCAAACGATGGGGCAGAAAAGAGATTCTCCTCTGTCCCTCTTGGTTTTGACTCAGTCATCTGCCCCTGTTGGCACTGATTGCCATTTAACCCTTTCCTTTGCTTATCTTACCTCCTATTTAGATGATGCGCAACTTGAGGCAGGGGGCCATGTCCCTTGGGCAGATAGTAAGCCCCACGGAGCTGGGGAATTGAAGTTATTAACTACATGGAGTAAATAGGACCAACCAAGAAAGGGAATCCATAAGATCTCTTTATCAAAACCCGTTGTTGTCCTAACAATATATGTACATGCAGTGTTATAAGATAAAACAAACTAGAACACGTGTAACCCTGACCACAAAAGGTGAGCTTCCATGCACTTTGCTCTGGTGTGTCTCCTGGCAGAGAAAGGAATACAGAGAGGGTATGTCAGGTCCTTTTTAATTTAATAGCATTATGGTCATGCAGAAGTTCTACCTGTTTAAAAGGAGAAAGAAAGACTGGACTCTCTGGTCATCCAAACTGCCTATCCTCTTTAGGGAATTAATTTTTGTAATTCTATAAGCACCATTTGTATCATTTTGATCAATCTTATTCTGGCTCTCAGTTTAGGATTTGGGTTTCCACAGACTGCTCATAGTCTTAGCCCAAGTATCTTTAATTGCTCATGATGCTGAGCAGAGGAAAACTTTTAAAATCAAGGTTGAGGACTTAGGGGGGAAGGAAGATGACATCCCATGAATTGGGAAAATAGCATTAAATTCTGAGAACAGAAATTAGGATTCTGAACATCATTCAACTCCCTCCTCTCCGTGTTTTAAGGAAGTAGAATCTCTGTCTTATAACCACCGATTGATAGCTTCTCAATCAACCGAGATTCCCAAGAGTTTCTATTGAACATCTGCTTCCAGCTTTGTCTAAACCTTAGCACAACTGTTAATTTCCCTATGTACAAATCCCCATGGAGGGGTCGTGAAGGATACAAAGAAGTATAGTTAATGGTTCATAACCTCAAGATGCTAGGCAGTAAATTTCCTGGAGGAGCAAAATGATGCAACTTTCCTCTTTGTATTCTCTACATTGATTAACAGAGAATCTGAAATGTACAGTTCTTTATAAGTCTATGTTGAATGAATAACTGATCTAATTGGATGACCTCTCAGTGGAGGTCACAGGAGAAGATTGGTACTGAGGACATAGACTCTGAACTGGATGTGTTGGAGGATGTGTAGTTAGCGTCCTGTATTTTCCAATAGGAGAGCCATGAAGCATATGTGACTAGTTAAATTTAAAATAATTAAATTTAATTAAATTCAAATTTTAGTTCCTCGGTTTTATTGATCATATTGCAAAAAGCCACTATGCTGGGCAGTGCAGAGAACATTTCCATCATTGCCAAAAGTCCTGTTGGATGCTGTTGCTCTGCCTAGGGAGGGATAGACATGGACAAAGGCACTGAAATGGGGACCTGCTTCATATAGCAAGCCGGACCCATAGAAAGCAAGAATGTGGGGATTTGTGGATTTGTACACTAACCAGGCTCAAGTAGAGAACATGACAATGAGAGTCATCTTAGAAAGTGCAATTGAGGCAACACATATATTCGAAGTAGAAGAAATACTGAAGGAAGAAAACTAGCTAAGAAGCAAACACTAAAAGTGAGTTATTAATAAGCCAGAATAGAGTCAAGCAGAGTGTGAATAGGGGAAAAAAGATGTCCCAAGAGAGGAATAAACAGGACTTGATGCCACAATATGGAAGGTGAAGGGAAGGGAGAAATCAAAGATGATTCCTCCACAGTGTCAAGCCCCACTGAAAAATCTCGATGAATAGAATTATGGAAGTTAGGAGTAGAACTAATTTTAATATTAGAACTCATTTTATTTTTTTTTTTAAGATTTTACTTATTTATTTGACAGAGAGAGAGAGATAGCGAGAGCAGGAACACAAGCAGGGGGAGTGGGAGAGGGAGAAGCAGACTCCCTGCCGAGCAGGGAGCCCGACGCGGGGCTCGATCCCAGGACCCTGGGATCATGACCTGAGCTGAAGGCAGACGCTTAACGACTGAGCCACCCAGGCGCCACCCATCACGCCCTGTCCTCAGAAGGCTCTTATCATCTGGCTTCCCTGGGTTCCTCAGGTTAAGCCACACTGATCTCCTTACCTCAGTCGTGAGAATAACCAGGGCCCAGGGGACCACAGGAGGCAGGGCTGCAGGTTTAAAACAAATGACAGAGGTGTGGCAGCTCTTAGGTTCCAGCTCAGCTGTTAGGTGCAGACACTCTGGAGCCAGACTTTTAGGTTGGAATCTAGGCTCCCCCCTTTATTAGTAATGTGACAACTTGGGTCAAAATACTTCCCTTCATCTCAGTTTCTTCATCTGTAATATGGGTACTACAATGAAGTTGTTATGAGGATGAAATTAATTAACATATGTAAAAAGCTTAGAATAGTGCCTGGCATGCACTAAGCACAATACAAATGTTGTATTTGGATCTCCTCTCGTTTAGAGGTGTACATTCACAACTGTGAACTCAGCTAATGTTTCTGAGGACCAGCTTCTCTACTGATTAACCAGACTGTTTTTCCCAACACAAAATTTACCCATAATCTTTCAGCCCGCGAAGGACTGATAAAGTATTCTGATAAAGCTTTACATGGTACATTTCGCCTTTGGTCTTCTAGCTGGCAAAGGCATTGAAAAGAAGTATTTTTCTGAATTTTATACTTTTTTTTAACTTTAGTTACACAAGGTGACACTAAGTCGGATTAAAGGTGATAATCTTTATTTCTGCTTAATATTGTAGCTATAGACGGAGATGTTCCTCAAGTGAGATTTTCTAGTCCCTCACCCCCACCCATTTCCTGCCTACTCACTATTCCTGGTTGTTCAGAGGAAATCAGACTAAGCTCAGGCAGGGGGAAAGGCTGGGGGAGCACAAAATCTGTTCTCTTAACCTGTAACTTAAAGCCAGACCTTCTATTTCATGTAGGAAATTGCTCATTACTTGTATCCTTGTTTTTACAGATCTTAGTCAAAAGTTTATTCTAGCCCCAGAGCATACCTATTTACAATGAGCCTATTGTAAATGGTCCTTGACACTCTTGATATTTTAAATTTTCAGAAGCTACCAGAGCACGCAGGTGCTAGGGAGTTCCTAATGGTAACAGGCAGCAAACGGTAATTTCCAGAATAACTTCTTTGAACTAGATCACTAAAGCTAGCAACACTCATTTTTACAAATTCTAGATTACCAGTGTTTCTTCTTCTTTCTTCTTAGGTGACCTTGAACAGAAATTTGAACTGGAAATCAGTCCGCTTTGTAATCAACAGAAAGATTCAATCCCTAGCATACAAATTGGTGAGTTGAATTCAGTTTTAATTTTTTTTTTTCAGTTTTAATTTTAAATAAATACTTTTGGTACCTCTGCCAGAGTCACAAAGAAAAGAAAATCTACACGCAGCCTTTGAAAAATCCAAACTGGAGGTTTAATGAATGGCTGAGTCCAAATAAACCCTCTAATCATGACTGATCTACTGGGTAATTTCCAACTGAGCAACTATGAAAAATGGAATAAAGGCTTTGTGTCAGACCCTTAACTAGCCGCTATTAACTTCGTAGTTCAGAATCGAATCAAAACCAAATCGAGTAGAAGGAAAGTCATGAGAACCAACTATTTGCTGCTGAGGAACAGATTAGTTCACACTGTTTAGAACCTGATGAGTGGGAAGTCGGCAGAATCAACCTTGAGGACCTTTCCAATCTGCCCCACTACCCTTCATCCCCAACGCAATCCCAAGGGCCTATGCTCTGCAGACCATGTTATTGCTTGTGGCCCAGGGTCCCATGCTTCTCTACTCTCCACTTCAAAACTTACTTTCAGTCTTATTCTCAAGAATCAATTGCAGTAAACTGTTCAACTGTGATGCTAATGCATCTAAAATAATTATTACTTTATGCATAAAATCATTAAACAAATCAAATGGTGGAAATTTCAGGCACATAGGAAATTATTTTTGATCCAGTAAGAATTTCTATCAGTTCTTAAAACACTCTACCAATTCCATCTACATTTAAGGCAAGTCCTTCATTTCCTTGCAGTTCCTTCCAGTTAAAACCAAACTTAGAAGTTGAACTGTCTTACTCATAAACTAGCCCTGACATGTCCTAGCTCCCACAGACCTCAGAGAGCTTAATGCATTCACAGGGTGCAGCCCTCTGCAAGGCTCAAGGTTTAAAGCCCCTACTTGGGAAGGAACGGGGCATCAGAAAAAAATAAGCTGAAAATTAGGAAAACCAGAGCAAGTTAGTCAAATAATAGTACGCTTATAATCACTGGGAGTCAAACCGAATCCACAAAAGAGTCATAAAGTCATCCTCAGGAAATAGAAACAAAATTAATCTAGTTACAAAGATTTGAATAACGTATGCAAATATTAAAATAGGTATATTGAAATTATGGGATTATTGGTGATCCATTTTTTTCCAAATTGCCCTTAGTATTGTTATGTTGTTTTTACAATTAAACTGATTCTTTCACCCAAAAAAGGAAAAGGTGGGAGTGTTATAAAAAAAATAAAAATTAAATTAAAAAAACAACCAGGAAGAATCCAGGGCAATGACATAGCTACAGAATCCCTGGGACAGTGTGGGGAGGGGAGCAGCATCAACAGAAATCAGACTTGGTGTCCTTGGACCCAATCCCCCCCTCTCGGGTTGCTTTAGTTACGGAGGTTCTGCAGATGCGATTTAAAAGGAATAGACCCTGACCAAATTCCCAACCCTGGGGCCCTGTTCGTTAAGCTCTGGCTAGAAAGAAATTTGCCAGGCTCCTGTTAAAGACATTTTGTGAAAAGCATTCACATTGTTAAGCACACAACCTGGATTTGCAAGAGAGACCTGATTTTAGAGATTCTACCCTGTTGTTGTTATGAGAACACATTTATTTTGTCAGATCATATGTCCTGGTTTTCAGCACAGGAAAATGTGGTTACCATAGATACCTGTTTTAAAAATGGGATGGGGATTGAGTGAATAGGAAAGTCTCAGGGATGCTACACCAGCACACCAATAATAGAGAGAAAGAGAAGGTGATGATAAAACAACCCTTCGTACATAAATCTTTCTCGGTCTCTGTCCCACGTCTCCGGGCTCTGTAGGGTCAGGATTGGGAGGTGTGGTGTGAAGGGGTAGATCAGGCTAAACTGGAAAAATCCAAAGATAGACAGAGTCTGATGGGAGCTGCAGGCTTCAGCCTCCCAGACGAGGATTTTGCCAGCGGGTCTTAAGTAAAGCAGCTATTTCCTCTGCCCTGATTCTCCTGGGGCTGAAACTGTCCCCTCTCCTTTTCCTGTCCCAATCCACAGTGAGAATTTCCCCACGTGCCATCTCAGGTTTAGATCTGATTTTCTGTTTAAGTCATTCATATTCACCCAAGTGGAAGTGGGATTTAAAATCCCTTTCCCGGGCTCCTGGGTGGCTCAATTGTTAAGCGTCTGTCTTCAGCTTGGGTCAGGATCCCAGGGTCCTGAGATCCAGAACAGCATCGGGCTCCCTGGTCCGCGGGAAGCCTGCTTCTCCCTCTCCCACTCCCCCTGCTTGTGTTCCCTCTCTCACCGTGTCGCTCTCTGTCAAATAAATAATTAAATAAATAAAATCTTTAAAAAATAAAAATAAAATAAAATCCCTTTCCCTCTCTCCACCAAATTCTGCATTTTAGAAAGAAGATATTAGATGGAATGAATCTCTAATTGGTGAAAGCTATAGGAGGAGGAGGAGAAAGAGGCTTGCCTTCAATTCCTGTTTGCTCTGAGGCCACCATGTATCTCTTCCCCCACTCCCAGCCCTCCAGGAGGACAAAATCCAGGCAGTCAGTCTGTGGTTGCTTGCATAGAAGAGAGAGCTTGACACAATGCACTGGGAACGGATGGGACAGTTTCCCAAATGCGAAGAAGTCACTTTCATTTGAAAAAGTACCTCCTGGTGTCTATTCAGACTTCAAATCTACTTTCCTAATCTACTATGAGAGGTCTTTACATCAGACAAGTAGAAATACGGAGGGATAATCCCCTAGTAACGTCAGGAAGAAAATGAGTTGATTTTTAAGTACCAGATTTTTGAATGTTGGATTTGTGGCTTTTTTATGTTAAGGTAAACTTGATAAATATTTACACTTTAAACTTGAGAATAGTATAATTTTGTGAACTGCCTTTCTAATATCAAATCTCTCTTACGGTGAAGGATATTAGAAATTAGATATGGAGGTTATGGAGGTAGTGAAGAAAATTCGGGAATAGCAAACAAGAACATTCAAGGAAATCCGTACTTGCTGACTCCCTATATAACCTTATCGTTGGCTTAAAATTTCCTCCTTAGGTTTGGGTGAGCTAAAATGATCTCATAATACTTAAATCATATTTCACATATGATGAGACAATGCAGAAATGTGAAATAACATTTTGCATTCCTGCATCCTTTTTCCATCTCTGTAGCATCCTCAAAGGCCAAGCATCTGCACTTTGTTGAATAAAAAGATAATCAAATCAAGCCTTATAATTCACAGCCTTGTGAACATAAAGTGTCAGTTGGTGGAAAATTCGTTATGCTGAAAAAACCCTTGCCTTTTCTCCCCACACCTACATTTCAATAAAACCTAAGTATGTCCAAGTTTGTGATTATTCCAATCATCCCAGCCTAGACTGAAAGTCGTCTTGGCTTTAATAAATCATATTTAATATGGAAAGCACCCTAACATTGAAATATGACTAGAACACAAGGAGTCTAAGATAATTAAGAGAACAGACATATCTAATATCAACCAATCGTATCTGGTCATTAACATAGGGATTTTATGCAGGTAAAAATCCGTATTAAAGATGAGTGAACTTGACCTACATTTAGTCGCTTAACATAATTGAGAGTAAGACAAAACCGTGGATCAATACTCTTGAAAAATTATCCTACAGGGTAAACATATGAATTCTCCAGATGGGTCTAAACAACGATGTGCCCCTTCCTGATATCAGTCACCCTTTCCTCCTCTCCCCCACCCCCTCCTCAGCTCCCACACAGACTTTTTCCTAGCTTTCTGTTCAAACGTCTTTTTCCCTCAGCAAATAATAACAGCCAACATGTATTGAAAGTTTACTAGGTGCCAGGAGCTTTCTGAGCATTTCACTTGCCTCAAGTCATTTCATTGTCCTAACAACCCTATGGGTTTGGGACTCTTCCTGGCTCCTTTTTACAGATGAGGAAACTGAGGCCCGAGGGGTTAAGAAACAAGCCCTAGGTGACACACCTGGTGCTCCTAAACCAAATGGTAGGGAGCGAGTCATCTTTTGCCTCCGTATCTCTGGGTCGGGCACAGAGCGGCGTCCCACCTGGGTCTGGGAGGGAGGAAGGCGAGGGTTGCACCGCCTTCACGGGGCTGAACTTGGCCTTGCCTGTTCTAGGTTTCATGACCTACATCGTGGAGCCACTTTTCCGGGAGTGGGCCCGTTTCACGGGCCCCAGCGCCCTGTCTGAGAGCATGCTACGTCACCTCTCCCACAACAAAGCCCAGTGGAAGAGCCTGTTGCCCAAGCAGCACAGAAGCGGCGGCGCGGAGCACGCAGGCCCGGGGACTGAGAACCAGTAGCAGACTGGGACCAAAGGCGACGCCCCGTAGTCCCAGCCCCGCTGCCCCTGCTCCACGCAGACCGAAGGAGAACCTCCTCGAGCAGAGGCCTCCTGAGAGGGTGGCAGCTCTGGGGGGGGGTCTCGGCGACCAGCGCAGCCCCGCGCTGGGTGTCATCCCCGGGGCTCTCTGCAAGGCCACCCTCCTCCTACTCACCTGCCTCCTCTCCTTTTTCCAAGTGTACAGAAGCCATCCGTCACCTCAGCATTCGCTGCCGAAATAAGCAACTCCATTCAGGAACGTGGGAGCCGATTCTGGGGGGGGGGGGAGGCAGGTTGGCCCCTCAAGGCGAAGACTGGGGAGTAAGAAAGCGGTGCTCCTGCCATGCCCGCCTCGGGCCCTGGGTCACACTGTGACAGGCGACAGTGGCTAAGTCCAGAGCGTTTTTAGCATTTGCCATCTGACTGCTGATCTGCACGGCAATAACACCAGCACCTGGGCGCCAAGGAGACGGGTCTTGGGTGCCAGAGCACAAAAGAGAACGGGAGCAAGGACCTGCTATTTTAATAATAATTGTTATTATAAAAATAATAATAGATCTTTTTAACTTTTCTATTTTATGCACTAGACAGTGGATCTAAACCTTGGGACTAAGATTGCTCAATGTACCCAAACTTGAACAGGGGGTTCGTTGTTTCGTTACTGACTTGACGCCGCTTTGGGCCAGAGATTGGGCGTCTGCTCAGTTTAAGAGGCCGCGTTTCCTATCCGATCCGAGGGGAAGGTGCTGTACAGTTCGTTCCTTTGCACCATTAGCCGATCTGTCTTTTATCAGTAACTCAGATCCCGTGACATGTTTATGTGCACACGTGTCCATTTTCTGTAAATACGCAGCGCTACTGATGCCCCTGCCACAATACGTGAGTATTATGGGATTGCTACCTGTATAAACAACGGCACTGTGAACAGAATCCTGTTAGTTTTAATCCAAGAGAATGCGTTTGTAAATCTGGTAGAGAGTTTATTAATATACTGTTGTTTGCAGATAAAGGCCTTAACTTTAAACATCTTTCATCTTCTGAAAGCTGCCCGACTTCCATCCTCACACATATCCTTCTGAACTGCCGTCCCATGCCCGTCTTTGCGCTTTCCAGCTAAGGTCACAAACCGAAACTGACTAAAGTCTTTGAGGAAATAGTCTGGAAACTTCACCCGCATTCCGCTTGAGACCATAGTGTTTCATCTATGGCACCGAGCCTCGTTTCCTCAGATTAATGAGACCTTTCAACAAGCCTGAAGTCACTTTTCAACCCAGCGCCCAGGCTGCACCCTCTGTTTTAACAAGCCAGCTGATAAGCTCGCCTTTGTGTGACTCTTGTCTTGGACCGTGCGGTGTGTCAACCTCGCAGGAGACGCGGCAGGTCTCACAAACCTCCTACGACCCTGTCATCTACCCATCAGGGAGCTCCCTGCCCTCCCACCACACATTTGTCTGACACGGCTACAGTACCAAAGCACCTTTGGTTTATGGTTGGCGTGCATTTCTTTGGCGTTAGTAGTAACTGGATTTTTCTTTTTCCTTAATTTCGTGTGAACAACTACTCAATTATTTAGCTGAAGTTAACATTATTTAAGTCAAGAAAACATTTCAGTTTTTCGACCGAATTTACCTTCCTGGCAGGTCATCGTGGTTCGTTACGGTTCTAGCTAACAGAGTCACCTTGGAATCTGCTTGCCGTTTTTTCTGCAGACTCTTGGTCGGACAATCAGTTTGTTACAGCATCCTTCTCTAGTGACTAAACTCCATGCATTCAACCTTTTTCCTTAAAAGTTCTAGCATAAGTAATGTTACGTGAAAATTGGCATGTCCCTCTCTTCTTACCTTTACATAACATTATAGTGGGGGAACGATAATCTGATCATCTCTGCCACTACCGAGCTGTTTCGCAAGCTGACAAACTGACAGCGGACTCTCGTTTTCTACATGCAACTCTTGTGGGTTTTGTCCCTTCCTAACGTACAAATGAAATGTTCGAAACTTGACGGGTTTGTAATAAGTTTCTGTAGAGAGACTGAGGTTTGCCGAGTGAAGGTTTAGGGGGAAATTTTGGAAAGTTGGTTATATTTTCACTAAAGTCGGAGAGATTGTCAGATGGCACTAGAGAAAGTGTGAAAACCTCATGAAATGGGTGGCTGATAAGTTGAAATTGTTGATATGGGTAAGAGAGAAGTTGTGAAATCTTAACACTAACTTTTTTTCTCTGTAATAACTATGAACTGACACCTGATTCTTTATTGCTTTAATCCTCTGAAGCTCTCAGCTTGGTGAGGCCCCAAAAGAGAAAATGTTGAATGTGTTCCTGCTTCCAAATCTCTCTTACTTTGGTCTGATGATGCAGAAAGAGCTTTTGTGTGGTCTGTGTTTAACGTTCATGAGATCAAATGAAGGAAAGCAATTGTCAAGGATGATACAGTGGAGAAAAGGGAAGATGCTATTTTAGTGAATGGGGCCTCTGCCTTGGGTTTAAGAAATGGACTTTGTTTAAATTATATTTATATTGTAACTTACATAAGTAAGATTGGAGGCATTTTTAGTAGTTCCAAGTTCGTAGGACAAAAGTCTATGTTACAATTAGGTCTTGAGGAGGAGCTCACAAAGAAAACCACCAAATACCCGACTATGAAGCAGCTACTAGGACAATCAAAATTTGAAGTAAAAGGAGACACGATGCATAAACTAGATGCATTTTTGTCCTTTCAACCATCTGGAGTTTTCTTGAGTTCTTTGCTTTTTGGCAAAAAAAAAAAAGAAAGAAAGAAAGAGAATGTGAAAACTTTTTTTCCCTGCCTACTAGCGGCTCCCCTTCCACAGAGGAGCTCTGTTGCTAGTTAAGACACAGCTGTTGGATCATCCATGGATTTTATCTTTATAGTCTCCTCCTGGTCCACGGACCACCAATAGTTGACTTACCAAGTTTAATTCTGTCAGTACTTGAGAAGAAAGGAATCAAAGGGCTATTTTTAGTAAGCAAAATAGAGTTCAGATCAAATGAAGAGGGAGAAAATATGTATCACTGCCAGGCCTGGTCGTCAAAGCCTGCTTCTCCTTTAACAGCATCCGTGAATAGTCAGAAACTCGTTCTTGAACCCCTGACCTACCCATAACTCCTCTAGGCTGAGGGAAAATCCCACTCCGTTTCCACCCGCCGAAGGCCTCCCACAAAGGCACTTGGAGCGTGCCCGGCGACACTGTCTTCAGATAGTGCTTCCTACAAAACACAGACTTGTTTTGTAATCTTTTCTCATGTTGAATCAGATCTGCTCACTGATTTGAATTTGGTTATGAGCTTGTGTCTCGCTGTATTTCTTATGCTTGGTTCTTTTAAGCAAACCCTTAAAATTGTGTTGTTTTGTGTACACATGTGAGATTTGGGGGGAAAAAAAACCTTGTGAGTTTTGCTCAAAATGTGGCCTAAATATCCATTGGCATGTCTCAATGAACAACTGAAAATAAAGATAATTTCTTAAAAACATCAAAGTCTGAAAATATACTGATTCTCACCAGGTAACATGTTACCAGCAAACCAATCGGATTCAACAAAAAAGGCCCACTGCTCAGGAGAGGAAACTTTCAAGGGAAAAATGCACAGATACAGACATGGTCTCCATGTGACTCCTTCTACTTGGGGCTGCAGGAACAGCCCTGTCCATGAAGGCCTCACTTGCCAGTTAATCCCAAGTTAGGGAAAGAAGGCTCTCTTTCTCCCACCATTCAATTCTACACTTCTTCTGAGTCCTGATATTTTTGTTTCACATTTGTCAAACTCATATATGAGTGAGAATGAGGTAGAGTGGATTAGGTTGTAAAGACAAAGCCGACTTCTTTCAATAAGTACCTGTGAAAAATATGGTCTTGCAGATTTCAGGACTGGAAACCATCAAGAACAATAGAACAGTTCAGGCAGGACAACTGAATCTCCTAAACTTATCTGGAAATAGAGGAGAAAAACACCACCACCCTTGTTTCCCAGGAACAACCTTGTATCTACATAGTCTCTTCATGCCCCTTTTTATTAACATTGGATTCAAAATCTCACTGATCCCTTCATGCTTCCCTGTGTCTGAATACAAAGCCCCTTTTTCATGTGTGGATATTTGATAATATCAAATCAAAATCAAAATTGAAACCCCAGTGGTTTTCCAAGGAACAGTCAGACATGATTTCCAAATGTCCCCAGGAAACTAGCTGAGACATTGTGAAATAAATCAAGCCTATGTAAGCAATTGAATTTCGATTCCACAAATATTGATTGAGGATCTACCATGTGCCAGAGGTTGCACTAGATACTTGGAATATAAAAACAGCTCCTGAAAACAAAATAAGGATCATTTATCTCCCTTGCATCTATGCCCCCAAAGCCCTAATTCTGGCTGGTGATGGCTCTGTTCCTCTGAGTCAGGGCCCGAAAGGCTTGCTGGTCTTTCACAGGCTCCCCCAGGCGGCCTAGGCCAGTGTCTCCCGGCACTCACATGTCCACACACATTCTCAGCCAGTGCTCTCCGTCTGTCCTAGAGCAGGGCCCAAAGCAAAGGCACTTCTCAAGTAACATCCCGTCAGCCCTGCCTCTGTGACAATGTAGTGGACATGTGAGTAATGACTACACAGGGAGCTTTGAGCTACAGAACAGTCCGCGATGGGATTTTTTTTTTTCCAACTAAGCCAGAGAGATTATTAGAAAAATTTTCAATTTTAGTTGATAGGATTTGAAGATGCATTATTGCCTTGTCTCAGTCATTCAAGCAACAATGTATCGTTGATTCAATTGACTGAAATGTTTTAAATTCTAGTATTGCAAGATTTAATCTTTAGTAATTTTTTTCCCCTTTTAAGGAAGCAATGCATAGTGTTTTCAAAGTGTGGGCTCTGGGGTCAACAGACCAGAATTCAAATCCCTTGTTATCACTTGCTGCTTAACTCCAAGCAGATAATTTGATCTCTCTGAGCCTCCATTTCCTACGTGTAAAATGAGAGTAACACCTACCTTCTGGGGTGGTTGTGATGTCAAAATTGGAAAACATAGGGTGCCTGGGTGGCTCAGTTGGTTAAGCGACTGCCTTCGGCTCAGGTCATGATCCTGGAGTCCCGGGATCGAGTCCCGCATCGGGCTCCCTGCTCAGCGGGGAGTCTGCTTCTCCCTCTGACCCTCCTCCCTCTCATGTACTCTCTCATTCTCTCTCTCTCAAATAAATAAATAAAATCTTAAAAAAAAAATTTAAAAATTGGAAAACATATATAAAACATACAGCATGGTTTGTAATAAAGGGTCCTCAAAAAATGTAAATTTCTACATCATTTAAAACAAATCTACAAAGTGAGAGTTGGGGTATATCTTTTGCTTTCTCTAGGCTGTACAGTTTTTGTGCAAAAAAAAACACAAGAACCATTAATAGACATTGGGCATGACTATATCTATAAGTGACCAGCCCGGCCATGAAATAATCCTTATAAAATATGGACAAAATATTGTAAAAATGATTATAAAAGAAGACAGTGTTCTTGGGTCACTAAGGATACCCTGATAAGACCAGGGAATACAATGAACGTTTCTGATTATAAAGTAAATACTCAGCCCAGCCAGGGACGACCATCTGTTTAATCTAAGCCCTTCCTAGAATTGATGACAATACAATCCTGGCTAGAAAGGATTAGTTAGCAAACAAAACTTGAAAACTAATTCCACTCATATCCTATGAATCCTATCTATAGAAGTTTCCAGCGGCCCTTCCCCTTGCAACTTCATCAGATCCTTTCTGGCTATGGACAGCAGAGGCAGGGAAGTCAGTTAGAGCCTCTATAAATAAATGCCCTAAAATAGATTCTGTTCCTCTAAACTAACATTTTCAAAATTGCTTTTTAAAAAAGCCTTAAAAGAGTGCCTGGGAGGCTCAGTCAGTTATGCGTCTGACTCTTGATTCCAGCTCAGGTCATGATCTCGGGGAGATCAAGCCCCAAGTCAGGTTCTGCAGTCTGCTTCTCCCTCTCCCTCTGCTCCTCCCCTTGCTCATCCTCATACTCTTTCCCTCTCATTCTCTCTCTTTCTCAAATCAATCAATCAATCAATCAATAATCCTTTTTAAAAAAATGTGTGTGCCGGAAGTTGTTGAAGCATTACCTGGAAAAAAGAAGTCTTCATGGCCCCTGAAGTTTGAGGAACAATGGCTTAAACACACAGGTTCCTCTTCTGCGTCCTTCTCAGAGCCTCCCATAGGCTAACGGACACCTCCAACAAGACGATATGGATGATATTATTTGTTTAGATCTAATATTGTTTTCATATCATGAAGCCTTCCTTGACCACACCAACCCAGGATGATCTCCCCATTTGTCATTTTACTGCCCTAGTATTGTCAGTGACTATTAGTTATTTGTTATTATTCCTGATGTATGTGGGTGTGTTCTGCCCAGTTTGAGACATACTAATAACATTGCGGTTGGCTTGCCTGACTTTGTGGCGTGATTTTACCACTTACTAGATGTCTGACCTCAGGCAGGTTTCCCAACTTTTTGTGTCTCAGCTTCTGCACTGGTAAAATGATAATAAAAATGGGACCTATTTCATGGGGTTTCTGAAGATTCAAAGAGTTCATGAATGCAAAAACTCTGGACAGGGCCTCGCTCATAGAAAGCACTCAGTAAGTGTTGGCAAAGACCAACATCTTCTCCCTCGCCCCTGCATCACCCTCTGAAATCAGATTTGTTAAGTTCCTTGATAACAGGATCACTCTCTTTTTAAATATATTCTCCTATAGTATTGCACAGAAGGTCCTGAATAAATACTTCTTAAATTAAAGAATATATTTGGATTGATAAATTGAAAATTGTGTCAGAATAATAGGTTAATATTTAAACCCAAGTAAATAAGTCCCAGTTGCAACAATAAATGCCCCACTAATGTGAATATAGAGGTTGTTTTTCAGGAACACATTTGCTACCTGGCAGACTTTTATTCTTTCTAAGAATCTGGTTCAGGAAAAAAACAGGTTTTCTCCTCCTAGTTTATGAGTCTACTCTTCTTAGTGATGAAGACAAAGATCAAGTCCCTAAGGGACTTGAGGTCCAAAGACCTCCAGGTATTTCCCATCCAACTGGAAAAGCTGCCTACAGAAGGACAACTAACTGGCTTCCTTTGCAGGGAAAACGAAAGTCCCCCACTGTATCACACAATCCAAGAGAGACAAATCCCAGTCCTCATCTTTGCAAAGGAGCATGGGACTAGCAGGTGAATCTCCTATTTTATCCCTGTGATTACACATGACCTACCCCTACTCTTCTTCCCAGGAAGCAATTACATATGCATTTTAAAAGTTGTCAGCAAAGTAAGCTAATGGACCAAAATGAAGGGTATGGGGGTTTTTTAAATTATTTTTTCCTACTTCTCACTGCTCTATTTTGTTTGGGCCCGTCTAACAGGAGAGTCAGACTTTGCACTTCAATGGACTTTCATACACACACACACACACACACACAACTTATAAGCGGAAACAAAATGCTGATCGTGTGACTGTAGCATAAGGGAGAAGTACATTCTGTAATTTCAGACAGATTTTCAAGTGTGAACCTGACGGAGAGGGGGGACACAAGTTCCGATGGATCTTTCAGTACTTCTGTTATGTAACATGCTACGAGCTATTTCCTACATGCTTCCACTGACTTTAGCTCTTAGAAATGTATTCATTATCTCACAAAAAGCTTTTCAAAAAATCTCCTTTTGCAATGATGTTTTCTGTACCTTAAACTCTAGCGGGAAGGTTCAGAGTTTTCTTCACGCTCATCGACTTCTTTTTTGAACAGCAGTTTTCCAGGCCCGTAGGCACGGCTGGGGGCATGTCCAGCCCCACCAACACCCAACAGCCACCCCATCGCCACCACGTTGACTGTCAGGCACCCATGGCACAGACAGTGAAGCCGGGGCCCCAACACCAGCCCCCGGGGCCGCATGAGAGGAGAGAGCCTTCAGTGGGGCGGGTGGTCCCCGCCGCCTCCGGGGCTGCCAGCTTCGGTGTGTGCCAGGGCCAGACTGCCTCGGGCTGTGGGCGAAGGGGACAACACCCGACCTGAACATCTCAAGTGCTTACTGCATGTTTTCTTTTTTAAGATTTTGTTTATTTATCAGACAGAGAGAGAGAGAGAGCAAGAGCAGGAACACAAGCAGGGGGAGTGAGAGAGGGGGAAGCAGGCTTCCCGCCGAGCAGGGAGCCTGATGTGGGGGCTCGATCCCAGGACCCAGGGCTCATGACCTGAGCCGAAGGCAGACGCTGCACTGACTGAGCCACCCAGGCGCCCCATTTACTGCATGTTAATAAAGTTATGTCTGGACTAACGAGCAAACCAGAGAGCAAGCAAGGACTGAACATGATTGTCTCCTCT